GCATCGCTGTGTCTAGATCATCCCTGACCAGTGCCCATCCATCCTTTCCTCGACCCCTCCAGTGCTGGGAGCCCACAGCCTTTCTGCACTGCCTCCCTGCTCTGCCAGTGACGTTTTCCTGCTATGCACGTGATCTGAGTCCCCGAGAGACAGAGAAGCGATGCCTGTCACACCGCGCAGACCTGCCAGCCGTGGCCCCTTTCTCCCCCCACTTCTCCCAGTGACGTCTCTCTGCCTGGGGGACAGGGGATCTATCCTGACTGGGCTCCCATCCCCTCCTCTCAGGCGCTGCAATGTGTCCTGGGCCCTGGATGCACGCCAGCTCAGTGCGTCCCATCCGAGCGTGGGAATTGCCCCGCTGCCGCCGCAGCCAAGCATGGGGGCTGGATCCGCCCGTGGGGACTGACACGGTCCATTGAGCTCTGGGAATGCGGCAGGGGAGGGGAGCTGGGAAAGGGCGAGAGGCGCAAACCGGAGTTGGACAACAATGCGGCCCATCCACTCCATGGGGAATGCTCCCCCCAGGCAGAGCAGGGCCTACGGCCACCCCTCGAACCCTCGCCTGGCTCAGACCTCCCCGGTGCTGGCTGCAGCACAGAGCCAAGCAGAGGTCCTGCCTCAAAGCCCAGGCAGGGTGGGGAAAGATGCAAGAAGATGAAGCGACTTGCCTGAGGTCATGCGGGAATGCGGTGGCAGAGCTGGGATTAAGGCTCCAGGTGCCCTGTTGCTCGCCGCACAGCCTGGCGGCAGGAGCAGACTGTGCTGGAGGGGCAGAAGTAGGGCTGACCAGAGCAGACAGGCGTAGTGCTGCTGTCACATTAATAGAGGGGCAGGACAGGCAACAAGGGGCCATCCCTCCCAGGGACACAGGTCCATGGACGGTCCAGCATGGAGCCAAAGCTGGAGAGACGACGGTCCTAGATAAACCCCTCGTAGGCAAACAGCGACTGGGCAGGGGCTGCCTGGCTCCACTTTGATCCAGGACCCAGCCCCCAGAGCCGTGACGAGGCTCCAGGCTGGCCCCGTCCTCTGGCCTGTGGCTGCTCAAAGCTTCAGGGCAGCTACTCCACCCCCACAGCTGCCAAAGGTCCTGCCATTAAAGGGGAGTCTCCCTTTGCAGTACGGGGCCCATGACACACAGCGGAACAGTTCTCATCATGACCAGCAGAAGGCAGCAGGTTGCTGCTGGCTCCTAAGGGTGCTGGGGTTGGATGGTCGCGGGAGAAGTCGCTCATCCCCCTCCGAAGGTGACTTCAGCCTGGAGCACCAGAGCTGGGTTAAACAAGCATGCGCGGGGAGCTGATGCCCTTTAAATGACTTCAGACGGGAAATCGAGGTAGGAAGTCCAGCGAGGGGCAAGGGGGGGCCTGCCCAGTGCCGACTCCCAAGCCCTCGAGCCGGAGATGAATTGCAGTTTAATATCTCCGATTTTAAAAAATGATGATTTCTGGTGGCTTCCAGCTTTGGAGAAAGATGATGCTTCCAGAGGGTTTTGTTGTCCCAGCACTCAGGGCTCGGGGCCTGGCCATCGTACAGCTGGAAGGGAATCCCGGGGGTTTGCTTTGGACAGGACTTCAAGCCTGGGCCTAATGCAGGCTGGTGCTGGACACCCTCCACCCCAGCGTTGCTTGCACCTCCTGACGCCCACCTGAGCTGGACGCCCGATGTCTGGGCGGGCACTGGGCAGCCTGGCTTGTAAAGGTGCAGCAAAGCCAGCGCGGATGTGCCATGCACCAGGCCCCTTCCTCTTCCCAAAGCACCAGGATCCCCCTTGTCCCGGTGGCTCCCACTTTGCTCCCCCAGCAGCTGTGACCCTGTGATGTGGAGACAGCCTCTCCCTCCATTGCAGCGGGAAGGTGCAGAGCTCTGGGCGTCCGCTCCGGCTGGCGGTGCATTGGGGTGGGGGGCTAGTCCGGGCCCACCCCAGCTTTGGCAATCTCATTGTTTCTGCACCGTCAGGCACTGGGCCCTCCAAAGCCCCTGATCCAGAGCACCCCAATGCAAAAAACGATGTCTCCTGGCCTAGCTGGGAACCCTGCTTGCAGGAGCCCAAGCCGTCTACTCCCCCGTCCCAGTGCCCCAGAGAAGGATGGGATCTGGAAAGTCCCGAGTCAGGAGAGCTGGGAGGGGACAGGATGGGGAACAACCACACAGTGCCTCGGGAGGAGCACCTCTAGCCACCACTGATACTGCAGCTCCCCACTCCTCTGTGAAATGCAGCCACCTCTGGGGTGGGACACAGCTCTCAGGCAGCTGGGTGCAAACGACCTGGGCTGCAAGGCACCTGACCCAGGGAAAAGCGAGGGTCCATCAGCCGTCCAAAACGAGGGCCCTGGGAAGGACCGGGAGCCCTGCTCATGTCCCGGCCGCAGGGAACTGCAGAGAGCGGTCCGAGCGGAAACCCGTGCCTGGCTGCCAGGATCTGCAGCAGGTCTGCACAGATCTGGGCTCAGAGCACGTCAGGACATTAGTCACATGTGCGGGCGCCCGGCTCCCTCCCCGCGGCCCAGCTCTCAGCCCGGTGCCAGTGGAGCCGCCTTCCTGGAAACGGCAACCCACGGCCTGGGTGGTCTGCGGGGCCGAGGAGCCGGCTGCTGTCAGGGGCAGGAGGCCAGGAGGAAGGAAGAGGGGGTTCCTGGCTGCACGATGGGGAAGAGAGGGGAGTCCCCCCCTTCCCAGGCCCGAGCACGGGGGACGCTGCGTGTGGGGAGGGGACGAGGGGTCCCGGTGGCGCAGGCTGGGTGGGAACCAGTTTGAAGACTGGTCTAATTCCTACGAACGAGGCCGTTCCAGGGCATTTCCCAGCAGCTTGCACTCGGTCCAAGCACATCAGCGACGGAGCAGATGGAGGAGAGGCAGGTGGGCCCATGGGACTGGGCTCGCCTGGCACGCTGCCTTCCCTCTCCTTCCTTCCCCGGGGCTGAGCGACTCACAGGACCCCCTCCCTCAGCTCACACCTGCCCCCAGCCCCACCAGGCACTGAAAACAGAGATACAAATCCGATCCCAGGCAGAGCAGACGAGGGGAGGCAGCCGGCGGCCACGGGCAGGTGCTGGGCGTGGGAGCAGAGTGGGTCTTGGCTCTGGACACTGATGCTTTGGACCCGTGAGGAGCCAGTCTTGTTGACAGATCAGCCCCACACCCTCGCCGTGTGCCACTTGCACCCCCTGCCTCTGCCCCAGCTCCTGCTCCACTTTCTGCTCCCTGCCAGCTCTCCTGCCATGCTGCCTGTCCCCTCCCTGACCTGCCGTGCGCCACATGCAGATGTGGCCTGTGCCACTTGTGGGGCTCATACCACAGGCTGGCCAACCCTGGGGTCTGGACAGTTTCAGGGTCAGGCCCCATCTCCCTGGCAGGCTACGAGCGGCCGTCCACAGTCACTGTGACCCTGCCATTCACTCTGATGCCTGGCACTTCTCTGCTGAAGCAGAAGCTCTCCCACCCCGTAGGCCAGGGAGACCCCAAATGATGCCTGCTGCTAAGAAGGACCTTTTAACCCCTTCAAGACTGCTGCCAGAAAGGAGCTGGGCCTGCCTTCCTTGCCTCTGCCACCCCGAGACCGAGCAGCGCCGAGCATGCGATAGCCAGGGGGGCTGGGTGCAGATGTAGAAACATGGTGCCACGTGGAGGTGGGAGAGATCAGCTCCTGCCCACAAGTCTGGGTCCCCACCAGCTGCCAAGGAGGGCTTCTGGCCTCCCTGAGCCAAGTGCCCTGATCTAGGTCCTTTTGCAAGCCCCTTAACAAGCCCTGAGTACCAGGGTCTCCAGCCTGCGGTCCAGTGTCAGCCCATCACCCCCAGGCAACGGCAGACCCAAAGCCGTGTCACGCCTGCCCAGCTCCAAGGATGGGGAGAGCCCTGGCGGTTCATTCAGGGGTGCCGAGCACGTGGCCCAGCTGCGACCCACAGAACCACGTCATCCAGCCGGGAATTGGGGGGTGGGGTGAGCACTGCAGTGTTAATCCCGGCAGCTCCCCAGGATGATGCAGTGACTCAGGGCGCTGCAGGGGTTAACGCTGCTGCTACACGCCCCACCGCCAAATTCCAGGTACAGACCCCAGCGGACCTTGTTCTGGCAGCAATGGGGCGGCTGCATTAACCCTGAGCCAACAGCAGCTAGGGCCCCCATGGTGGTTGACATCTCGGCTGCTCGCCCAACCACCTGGATCCATCCCAGGAGCCCTGCGGGCCAGATCCAGTGCAGAAAGGAGTGCACAGATCTGACACCCCTGCCTTAAGGGGTAGCAGAGCCACAGCATTTCCAGATCCCCCCTGCTTGCAAGCCAATCTTCTTCAACGGTGCTGTGGCCATGTGGCAGCTTCACGGAGCACGTGGGCCCAAGGAGACACCTAGCGGCCAGCCCCACTCGGAGGTCGATCCCTGAGCTGAACTGCAATAAAATCTTCAGCGCATGGATGGAGGGAGGAGGAACGTGGTCCCCGACTTGGCGTGATAGTGCCGCCTGCCAAGAACAACGCATGTGAAGGAAGCAGCACGCTCGCCTGCGTGACCGGAGGAGGTGCAATCCTGCCCCAGGATGAGCTGTGCTGAGCTGGGGACTCAGCAGTGAGCAGGCAGGGCTGACTCCGGCTGGTCGAGATTGCGATGCAGCAGCAGCTGCTCTTCATGATGACGCCAAATTCAGAGGCGTGGGGTCAGGGATCTGATGGGGAACTCAAGGCAGTGACACTGAGCCTCCCGGAGGCCCTGGCAGCTTCCATTACTCCCAAAACTCCCGTCCTATGGTACCGTGTGGCTCTGTAGTAGGCTGCTATACAGCTGAAGTGCTCCACCCCAGAGATGACTGCAGCAGGTGATGTGCGCATGAGGCTGACAAGCAGCCTGGGAGTCTAAACTACCAACACCTCAGGAGCTCTCCAAGGGCCGGTCAGGTGATTTGAGAGGGTTCAAGGTGTCAGTCCTGTAGTTGGTTACACTTTAACCTGCCATGGACCCAGACACAGATACTCAGGCCAGATCTGGGGGCACCCAGAGGAGCAAGGCTGTTACACATCGTATTTATTATTTTATACACAATTTCCTTCGAGGATGGGGAGCTCTTCCCACTAAACAGTTAGCAGAGGGCAGGTGCTAGGTGCAATGCCCATGACGTCACACTACCCACATGTCCCTGTCCCTGTCGATGGACACGCAGTTATAGGCTGCGTATCGCAGCTTCTCCTCACAGACCTCGGCCCTGAAAAGGAAGAAAAGATGCAGTCAAGGTACTGCTGCAAGTCCACCAGCCGAGGGAAGCTGAATGTTTCACACACCAGGGATTATGGCAGAAAGTACTTTGTGGCACAGACTAGGGAAGTAAGGCTCAGAGAAGCAACCCCATGAATCCAGGGAAGATCTGGATACAGAATCCAGACATCCCGACACGCAGGTCTGGATGCGAGCCCTGGATTTAACAGGTGAAAGCAGAGTTGCCAACTGTATGTAAATTTACAGACAAACCATAAAAAAAAAAAAGAGAGCCTAAAAACACCTGTTCATAAAAGTCTATAAAAAATTGAACCATCTGTAAAAGACACCAAGCAACCAGAGCTTGATGGAAGCTCTGTCTGTTAACCAGGCTGCATGCTGAAGACCACACAGAGCAGAGCAATGCTAACTGGTGCGAGACAGTCCAGTGGGGTCCTACACCAGTGGGACACCAGCTCCCTGCAGGAAGTATTTGCTCAGGCCATTGTAGCCTGATGTGCATGTGGAAGCCCCTTTCCCACCCCAGCCATGTGCTGCTGCTGCTGCAGGATCCCATCACTCCCTGTAACACTGGTCTCACAGGCAGGCAGACAATAGTCTATTTGGAGTCCAGGAATGGACAGGGGGTGGGGATAAGTAGAGGACCCCGGGGGGGGTCAGCACAAACAATGCAAAGCTATTGCTGCAATCAAACAGGGCTGCCAAAACAAGATTTTTTTTACCTTTTTTTTACTGACAATCTGCAAAACATTTACTGACGCTCAAACTATTTCACTATGGCTGGTGTTAACTCTAAATCCTGAACCAGGCTCTTGCCTGTAAAATGTGTCAGTAGAAGTATATATGATGTAAAACAGACTGGCTATTGGTAAAAAGTTTGTAGATTATCAGTAAAAAAAAAATGGTCTTAGGTTGGCCTGAGTGCAAGTGTGAATTTATCTTTCACCCTGAATGAAAGACACCACTTCCCTCAGGATCACAACTGCCAGGGAGAGGGGGTCGAGAAGAAGCACAGCTTACGAGGTATACTGCGGTAGGAAGAGAACGTTGGAGCAGGTGGAGACTTCAGGCAGCACATCCACAACATCAGACCTTGGGGGAAGAGATATGAAACTAGTTAGATCCAACAGGCTGCTTACACAGGGTAAGCTGAAGGCTTGCACATCAGGGCACAGTCCAACCCCACACCGGGGAGGGGGCAGGGCAATCACTCTGCTGATCACACAGGAGGACCGACTCACGTTGGCTCGTGTGGGCAGATGCGGATCGATATGGGAAGGCGACTCCTGCCAGTCACGAACCTGAGGAAGCGGCTGCGATCCTCTGTGGGGAGAGAACCGGGGTGCTGGGCGATGGGGACGGGAACAAAATCCAAACCCAGTCCTGGGGGAACCCAGAGCTCAGCTGCATGGAGCTCTTCATGTTCCCTGGGCTCAGCCAGCTGGCGAGCTGGGCATCTCCCCCCACAAAAAAGGTGCCCGTGGCTGAGGGAAGGATCTTGCAGGCTAAGGATGCTCAGGCCCCCAGGGGAATTCTCCAGGTGACTGCTCCAATTCTGCTCATACCCACCACATATACCTCTTGGCCTTCACAAACCCAGTAACTTCTGGTGCAGCCGCAACTAGCTCTCCAGGGTGGTCGGAGCAAGGAAGGAGCCGCACGGGTCACTCACCATTGGTGAAGTTGGTAAGCGCTTCCCAGAAGTACTGGACCCTGGTGTCTGATGGCTCCACACCTTCAAACTGAGCTGGGATGGAGAAGGCAGAGAAAAGGCTCATTAGAAACATAGATCCCCATTCCCACGGGGTACACTGGAGCAGGGGATTACCTGAGCCCTCTGGGGCATCTCGACTGGATCCTGGGTGGGGGAGAAGAGGCCCCCGATTCCATGCAGACCTGTGGCACGGGGTCCTACACCCCTAGCTTCTTAAGCTGCACGAGCTGAGCTGTGGGGCCCTCCTGCTCCCAGCCCAAATGCACAAACAAGCCCTGCAGAGCATGCACTTCTCGCCCGGTCCACGGCACAGACGCTAGGGATAGACGCTGATCCCCCGTGTCGAGCTGAGGGTAGGTGGCAGGAGGGTCCCCACCTCTGACAATATAGGGGGTCAACAGCTGCCAGGTACCCCCAGGTCAGTAACTAGAGGCGTTTCAGGGGTGTTATCCATGCGCACATCCCACTGCACATCTTTGGCCCTCAAGCTTGGAGTCTTTTTTGGCTAAACTGTGCTTTGCTATGAGGATTTCCCGTGTTTCTGGGCTTTGCTGGTTGCTGCAGGGGGCTGGGAAGGATTTCTGCCCCCTCCCCTTGTTGCTACATGCATCAGGGTTTCTTCTTTTCAAGCCTTTCCCAGAGGTACTGGGTGTTGGCTGCACCCAAAGCTGGGGATTGTGGCAGGGCTGTGCCAATGCTCTTGGAGGATCCTGGCTAGAAGGTCTTGCCCCTCCGCTCAGGGTCAGCCCAATCGGCCATATTCGGGATCAGAAAGGAATTTTACTCCCTGGTCAAATCGGTACGGATTATGGGGATTTTTTGCCTTCCTTTGTAGTGGGTAGAGTGGCCCTTTTCCTGGGATCTCCCAAGCTTATATTAGCAACCTTTGCAGCAGCAGGACATAGGCCACCACAGTCCCCCTGCTTTACCCTTGGCAGGTTTTGGTGCGATGCCTGGTGCTGTGTCAGGGTTGGCTGTACAGTTTTGGCTAATAGGTTGGACAATGGGTTTGTCTGGGATGGTTTGGACAGGGCTAGGCAGGGGGGCTGGATTAGATGCAATCTCAGCAGGTCCCTGCCAGCCCAAGTTGTCAATGATTTTATGAATCCGTGTGAACGCAAAGAGAGGCAGCACACACTGGAACTATACTTTTAAGGTGAAAAGTCTCCAGATCTATGCATATGAGGCACGTAGGGAACGCACAGTGGCAGGTGACATGGACAACAGCTCAAGAAGATGATGTTGCACTAGCCCTGCACTTACCGAAATTCTTCAGGGCCTCCATGGTGACCTCAGGGTCCCCACAGACTTTCTTCTCCAGCTGCTGCCATGTGAGGAAGTCGAGAACAGACTGTGGCACCACCCTGAGCAACCCCGCCTGCATGGCTGCGATCTGGAGGGGGGACAAAGCCGGTGTGGTCAAGAGGAGGGGAGGGACACCCCGTGCACACCCCCAGATTGGGCTCAAACCCAAGGCAGCAGCTCAGCCCTGGTACAATGTGACAGCAAGCTGGGAGAGCTGCTGGCTGGGGAAACCAAAGGAAGAAATCTCTGAGGCTCAAGTCTAGGTTGGAGAAGCAGGGTGAGAATGTTTTTTTACTTCTTTTGCATAATTTCCATTTTCAAAGTCAATGGTTACAATTTCTTATGTGAACCATCTTGCCTGGGGCATATATTTCTGCCACAAATACTCTACTGCGTCCCCCTAATAAATTTGTACATGGCCACAAGATCACCTCTCAGCCTTTTCTTGCAGAGGCTGAAGAGGTCCAGGTCCCTCAGTCTCTCCTCGTAGGGCTTGTCCTGTAAGCCCCTGACCATACGAGCAGCCTCCTCTGGACCCTCTCGAGTCCATCAACATCCCTCTTGAAGTGCGGCGCCCAAAACTGGACGCAGTACTCCAACTGCGGTCTGACCAATGCCGCAGAGAGGGGAAGCATCAGCTCCTTGGATCTATTTGTCATGCATCTGCGAAAGTCATCAGCAAACCTAGCCACACTTTGTCATGCATCTGCTGATGCATGACAAAGTGTGGTTAGCTTTGCTGATGACTTTCGTCACACTGACAACTCACATTCATCTTGGAGTCCACTGTGACTCCAAGATCCCTTTCCGCTGCTGTGCATATGAGAGGGTCACTTTCCACCCAGTAGATGTGCTGGGTATTTTTGCACCCCAGGTGCAGCACTCTGCACTTGTCCGTGTTGTTCTGCATCCTATTGTGTACTGCCCACTTTTCCAACCTGTCCAGGTCTGCCTGCAGTCGTTCTCTAACCCCCGGAGCATGCACTTCACCCCACAGTTTAGTATCGTCTGCAAACTTGGATGGAGTACACTTCACACCCGCATCCAAGTCACTGATGAAGACATTGAAGGGTACAGGTGCAAGGACTGAGCCCTGCAGGACCCCACTACCCACATCCCCCCAAGTCGATACCAACCCGTCTACTACCACTCTCTGGGGGCGACCCCCAAGGCAATTTGCCACCCACAGGACCATGTAAATATCTATGTCACAGCCTCTTAATTTATTGATGAGAATGGGATGAGACACCGTATCAAAAACCTTGCTAAAATCCAAGGAAACGACATCCACCTCTACTCCTGCGTCTAAGCGTTGTGTGACACGGTCATAAAAGGAAACCAGATTGCACAGGCATGATCCACCTGCTCCCAGTCCATGCTGGTTGCCCTGCTGCATTATTTTTCCCGCTGGACTCCCACAAATATGATCCATCATAATCTTTTCAAAGACCTTTCCAAGGATGGAGGTGAGACCGACTGGCCTATAATTACTCGGATCCCTCCCCTTCTTGAAGATAGGGACCACATTGGCCCTTTTCCAGTCCTCCAGGACCTGCCCCGTGCACCACGAGCGCTCAAACAGCCGTGCCAGCGGTTCTGCTGTGACACGGGCCAATTCCTTCAGTACTCTCGGATGCAGCTTGTCTGGGCCTGCCGACTCGATCACATCCAGTCCATCTAAGTGACGCTGCACCAAGTCAGCGGACGGCTGGTGTCCCTTTGATACCCATCTAATAATCCATACGAGACTTATCTTGAGCCCTGTTCAGGAACACTGAGCCAAAAAACTCATCGAATAGTTCAGCCTTGTCCCCCCCACCATCTGTCACTAATTGCTCCTGTTTATTCAGCAGAGGTCCTATGCTGCCCTGCGCCTTCTTCTTACTCCCTACCTACCTAAAAAAAGACTTTTTGTTGTCTTTAATATGTGTTGCCAGCCTCAGCTCCACAGCTGCTTTGGCCTTTCTAACTGCCTCCCTGCAAGCGAGGGCCGAGTAGGTATACTCCTCCTTGGTAGCGTCCCCCTGCTTCCACCACCTATATGCCTCTTTTTTGGCCCTTAGGCTCCCCTGGATTTCTCGGTTTAGCCGTGGAAGTTTTTTGGCCCTCTTCCCCACTTTCTCTCGTACTGGGATAGTCTCCCTCTGCGCCCGAAGGATCGCTTCCTTTAGGAACGACCGCTCTGCGGGGACTCCCCTCTCGCCAGTACTCCTATCCTGCAGCGCATCTTTGACTACACTCCTGAGCACGCTGAAGTTAGCCTTCCTAAAGTCCAGCACTTCCACCCTACTAGCTATCTTACCCACCCAACGCCGGATGGTGAATTTGGGGGTCTCTGCAGAGATGCAGCAGCATAGCGGGGAGAGGCTCGAGGCCCTGGGGTCCCTGACGGTGGCTTGTCACGGTGCAATTACCTGCTCTGTGCTTTCCTCCAGCCGAGCCGTCCGCACCAGGCGGACGAATTCCTTGCGGTCCTCGTAGCGCACTGCAATCCGGCTGCCGTCAGGGATGAGCTCCACGGTGCGCTGGTCACTGAGCACCGTGGTGTAGGTCAGCTCGTTCCCAAACTCTGACTCAAAGGTCTCTCTGTCCATCCCTTCCACCGCTTCCAGGAACTTCACCTGATGCACCAGGATGAGAGCCCTTGCTAGTCAGTGCTGCAACACGCGTGCCCTGGCCCCGAGAGAGGATCAGGGCTCGGCCAGGCATGGCAACGCATGACCCTCTGCCCAGAACGGGGCTTCCCCTGCTGGGGCACGGGGTCTCCAGGGCTGCTTGAACCCAGATGAGCATGGCAGGCTGCGACCTGTAGCCGTGAAAGCCAGCAATTCTGCATTGGCTACGGGTTCAACTGCAAACCCAGGCGTGCGTCAAGAACCACGCACCCTTAGCATCCGCACAGGCAGGCCAAGCCCCTACCCCCACCCAGCCCCACTGTGTCCTGTGCCCAATGCTGCTGACAACAAGAAACTTCCCAGACAACTGCCCGTCCTCATTTGAACCACCCACTCACCAGCACGGCGTCCACGGCCACGAAGTCCTTGGTCCAGCTGACCTCCTCCCCTATCAGCTGCTTCCACACGAAGCCCGGCAGAGCCAGGACCTGCGGAGGGAGACATCACTAAGACTGGTCAATCAGTCATGCAAAATGACACCCTTTAAGGACTCCCGGACAAGACGCCCGGCTAGCAAGGCTGGAAGAGGGCCGCGCCTCACCAAGAACTCCTTGCCCCGCACAGCGGCCCCCACGATCTGGCCGATCCACTCGTACTTGGCAAAGTCCTTGCAGGAGGGGTTTGGGACGTACATGTCCCTGGCTTCCCCGGTGCTGCTACCCTGCAACGCAGAGACCTGGTCAGAGCTCGGCTCCCCGCCAAACCCGCTGTGACAGCCCAGGGGCGGTAGGGCCATGCCCATGACCTCCCCCTTCCCATCCTACACCCCACAGACTAGAGAGAGGCCTGGAGGGCACAGCCGAGCCCAGCTTCCCGTGCTCCTCTCCAGGCCGTACTGTCCTGCTTTCTGTTGTGGCTTCCACCACAAGAGCCTGCTGAAGGGGTCTTTGCTCAGCCAGGCTCCCCCAGCCCCACTGAATGGTCTTGGGATGCCCCATCCCAGCCGTGTTGTGGGTCCGCAGCCTCGACTACCCGCAGAACGGGCTGTCCCGAGAGACGCGCATCATGGCACCTGGTTGGACGTGCGGACGAAGAAGGGCAGCGGCACGGGGCTGTCTGCCGAGCTGGGGCACAGCTCCTCCGACATGTCTGCCAGGCTGTCCCGAAACCCGCCGCCTGCAACCCAGACAGACCCCGCATCAACGCCACCCGCTCCCCCGGTGCCTGGACAGACACGGGACCCTGGGGCAGCTCTGATGCAGGTCAAACCCAGCCTGATCTTCTCCGGGGGCCTCTTGGCGAGTAGTACAGGCAGGTCCTGCACCACCCCTCCTTGCCCCCACACCCCGCTGCCTAATGGGACCTGCAGGAAACACCCTTGGGGAAAGCCGTACCCCAAACCCCTGGCCCTTCTCCATCCCCACTGAGAGTCCTGGTGCCCTGCTCTCATGGTCAGTGATGCTAGTGGCAACTCCCTGGGGGGAGACTGATTGCAGCGAGCGGACTCCTGACCCATCGCAGGGTGGGGATGGGATAAGGGAGGCATGGAGAGGGGCTATGGCACAGCAATAGAGCTGGGGCCAGATCCAACAGTCCTGGGCCGTGACCCTGTGACTAGGACACAGCTGCTCTGCAAAGCACCCCAGCCCTGCCCCGTCTGAAAGGCGGCACGGGAAGCACAGCTCCGTGCAACAGCCGGAGCACGCGGTCACCAGGGACTGCGGAGGGCTAACGAGCGAGGCAGACGTTAAATGCACTCTTGCTCTATGCAGACCCTGCCTGCCGAGCTGCCTGCAGACAGAGCAGCAGCACTGGACCATGGAGGAGCCACTGCAGGGAGGGAAGCACGGGGTCCTGGAAGGGGCAGGGGGATCTCGTACCGCAGTCGCAGATGCCCTCGCCAACAAACTTGCACTGCCACCACTGGTCGTAGGACGATGGCCACCTGCAGGGAAACCAGGGGCAGCCTGAGCCTGTCTCACGGGCAATCAGGGACGCTGTGGGTCCCCCAACACAGAAAGGATGTGGACACACTGGAGAGAGTCCAGCCGAGGACAGTGAAAATGGTTGGGGGCTGGGGGACAGGACTGGTGTGGAAAGGCTGAAAGAATTGGGCTGATTCAGCCTGGAAAAGAGAAGACTATGGGCAGGGGGGTTAATAGCAGCCTTCAGCTCCCTGCACGGGGGCTGCAAAGAGGATGGGGCTGGACTGGTCTCAGTGGCGGCAGACGATAGAAGGAGCAATGGGCTCACGCTGCAGCACGGGAAGTTGAGGTTGGATATTAGGAAGTGCAGACAGTGGCAATCGCAGCTCCCCGCCAGGAATGGAGAGCCCAGATCTGCCTCCTCACTCACACACCTCCCCTCTCCTTGGGCCCCTGCGCCAAACCCCCACGTCCAGCGCCCAGGGGCTGAGCCAAGGCAGAGCCCAGCACTGTACCACCCATGGCCTGTACCTGTAATCCAGTGGCTTATGCTCCTTGGCGAAAGATTCGAGGCCCTTGTACACCTGGAATGAGCAGAGAAGCACAGGACTCGGACACGGCCCGAACGCAGGCAGCAGGGCAGTGCTCCCAGCCCACTCCGTCCTCTCCCAGCTTCACGTCTGCCCTGTGCACCCACACCCCCCACCCTGTCGCACTCTGGTCAATGCTCCCCCACCCTCTTCAGACCCCGAGCATCCAGGACTGCCCATGCCACACAAGAAACTGCATGAGTTTTTGCACCAGACAGCGAGCCCCTCGCCGCCACCCCTCGGAGGCCAACGCTGCTGTGCTCCGGTGACTGCTGAGTGCATGGGGCAGAGACACGGGCTCTCCGCTGGAAGTCCCACCCCGGCCCGCACAAGACCCTATCCATCCTCCGTGGATAGTGGGACCCTATCCATCCTCCGTGGATAGGCCTGCAGAGCCGGCATGGGGAAGCGGCACCTGAGTGAACACGGCGTTCCTGCAGCTGGGGTCCAGGCCAGGGTTCTCGCGGTGCTTCAGTGCCAGGTGCCGGTTGATGAACAGCTCGGGCATGTTGCTGGGTTTTCTGGTCTCCATCTCCTCCAGACAGCGGGAGATGAGAGCCTGGCGCCACTTGGACAGGAGCAGGAACTGCTTGATGTGCTGCCAAGGGCCAGGCAGGGCTGGGGTTAGACAGACGGACACCCTCACCACCGCCTCACCGTACACACCCAGCCTGACGGACCGCCCGAGGCACCAGTCCTGCTTTGTGCCGCGAAGCAAAACGCCGCTGCAGCCAAGTCACCCTGCCGACACTCCTCTTCCCCCAAAGGGCTCGCTGCAAGCTCCTCCGGCATCAGCCCAGGCTAACCTCCGTACCAAGACCACGCCTGCTCGTGACAGGTGCACGCTCACCTTGAGTTCATTGAATAGGCTGATGGTGGGGTCCCAGACCGGGAACAGGTAAGGCAGGACGCTGTCCAGAAGCTTCATAAACCTAGAACCCGATGGGGAACAGCTTGGAAAACCCAGCAAAGAAGCTGCTCCTGCCTAGGTACTTGTGGCAGGGGGCTGCAATGCAGCAGCTCTGCTCCTGCAACAACCCCCTTTTCCTGGGGAGGATCCGCAGCACTGCAAGGTCTGTCCCGGAGGACTCTCGGGAACGTGCCAGCACCACACTGGGGAGATGTCTCATGCTCACAGCAGATCTACAGGCAAGAGAAGCGGCTCTTGCCCAGGGAGGGTGGAGCAGCTGCCACCCATCTCATGGCAAAGATGCACAAGGCAGGCTTCACTTGCCTTGGGCATCTTTGGAGAAGCCTGCCTCAGAGATGGGCCATTAAGACTCGGTTAAACTCTAACTCCAGCGCGGTGGTGCAGCTGATGTAGGAGGGGGCTCTCCCCCATGCAGGACTCAATGGTACCCAATGCCCCAGGGCATTGCTAGGAGGTAATGCCCTGCAAAGAGCAGGGTCGTGGGTCCCCCCATTTCTGAGGCACTGCAGAAGTGAATTAGTAGGAGGTGCTCTCTGCCCCAGAGTCAAAGATTCATAGAGAAGTGGGGCTGGGAGACCTCAAGACCCTCTGCCAGAGGCAGGAAAGGGTCCTGTAATGCCACACTGAGGTGCTGCAGGGGGTGGGGGAAGAAAGGAGCATCCTCCCCTGTGAACTGCAGCTGATTACAGACCCCAGCCTCATGCTAGCAGACGGGCTCCTTACAAACCCAGCAACTTTGCCGTAAGGAGACATGAAGCGAGGTCCTGAGCACAAAAGGTGAGCAAAGAGCTGCCAGCTGGTAGATAAAGCAGAGGGGAGTGAGCCCTGCACCCAGCCCACCGGCTTCCCCAGTGCTGCCGTGCCACCGAGCTGGGGGATCACCAGCGTGTGCTAGGACTCAGCAGGTGCCGGTGAGCTCCCCCGGGGCCAGAGCTGCATTTTCCCCCGTGCACGGAAGCAACTGACCCCCCCAGCCCCCACCTTGCGCGCTCAGCTGGTGTCCCGGACACTACCTCTGAATGAGCACGGCGCGCCGGTACAACAGGTCGGGGTCCGTCCCTTCCAGGCGGGGGTACCGCACCAGGTGGGCTGACTGGAACATGTCTGCATTGAGCCTCACATCCCAGTGCCACGTGGCCCGGACCTTGAGGCCCCAGAGGCGAACGTTGAGCCCGTTATCTGCCCATAAAAAGCAAGGGGGACACAGTGGGCTCAAGCTGGCTCGCTGCCCTGGCTTACGAACAGCACGGGGGTGATGGGGCCTGCAGCGTCTTGAAGGACCCGTACCTCCGCACTCCAGGATTCGTATCTCAATGACAGGCTGGTGAATCGTCATATCCCTGAGTATACACACGTCCCCGTAACTGTTCCTGCAGAGACAGCACAGGCGGAGATAGCGGAGCGGTTTCACCACCCTCCAGCCAACATCTCTTCATCCACTGACATGAAAGAGGGGTGGTCTCCCGTGCTTTGAGCTCAGCAGCTAGGATCAGGACCTGGCCTCAAATCCCCTGCTCAGCCACCAGCTTCATGGATAGCCCTAGTCAAGTCACCTAACCCCTGTGTGCCTCCTGCAGAGATTTCAGTGGCAATGGACACACGAAGCACTCTGCGGTCCTTTGAGTCCAGCCCATCAGGACTTAATGCATTTTGAAGACAAGCCATAGGAGCAAAGCTCGAGTATGATGGGGGTGGAGGCAGAGAGGGATGTGATGGCCATTTCCAAACATTGGACTGGCTCTCAAAATTAAGGTAGGGAAGCTGCTCTCCCATGCTCCTCCTACGCGCAAGAACAGGAGAAGCTGAGGACAAGCAGCTGCGCAATGTTCTTCCTGCAAGGGGGTGCAGAAAGCCCGGATCTGGGAGGGGGCTTGGTCTAGATGACCCTCGAGGAGCCTGGGCTCTGGAGTCCCGTGTGGCGCCGGTAACCAGGGATGGTTGATCTGGAGCCACCACAGCCATGCTAACAGCCAGGAGAAAGGCACAGGGAGGGAAACATCAGGTGCGTCTTGGCATACCCACGGGTCCAGGGGCTGGGACTGGGGGACCGCTCTTACAGAAGCCACCTGGGGCCAGTGCGCAGGACCGCAATGCATCCCTGTATTAGCACAGAGAGGTGCAACCAGGGGCGGAGAAGCCAGGCTTAAAGCATCCCACCCTCCCCCAGGGAGACAGGCATGTTTGGTTAGTGGCTAGAGGTTTCATCCATCATGGCATCTCAGCCCACAGGTCCCTCCCGCAACCCCCCAACCTACTCACTCGTTGATGTTGTGATCAGCCAACTTCTTCAGCTTGCCCATCACACCGCCATACACCGCAATCCTCTTGGGCTTGTAGCTAGTATCACTTGCATCTATGCTGATCAGAAGCTTCCTGGAGAGGAGACGGAGAAGCAGCCAAATCCTCCAGTGCTCGCTCAGGGAGGAGCCCCTTGAACCGTGAGCCTGGCTTTGCACACCCACAACGCACCCATGTGCGCCAAGCGCCCCAATCTGAACCCAGTGCACCCAGTTTTGGGTGTCAGAGTGCAGTGCTGGGACCTTATGCCCGTTCTCTCTACCAGGTCCCCAAGCACACGTGCTCTGTGCTGAGTATGCATTGCTTGGCTAAGGGGGGGATGGAGTGAAAACCATCCGCTTGCAGGGAACGACAAGGCTCCAGCACGAAGGAGCATGGGTTCACTTAGGGGAAACGCAGGAGAACCAGGACAGAACTGGCCAAAGGGGCAATTCAGACACGTTTGGACAAGGCCCTCGGGAGGGAGCTGTCGAGACGGGTCAAGCTGTCTCAGGGTGGGGGACAGAGGCCGCAATCCTATCCGACTGAACCCACGACTGGAAACCCCTGCCAGACTGGGGTCAGAGGAAACAAGACACGCTGCTCCCCCAAAGCACAGCCAACACCGGGGCAGCCACCGGCCCACGCTGGAAATCGGCTGGTTCCTAAACAGTTCGGCAGGGCCGTCGGGTCTCACTTGATGAGGGTGCCTTTCTTCATGGTGAGCCGCACCCAGTGCTCGCCCTGGGCCCCGTCGCTCTCCCAGAAGGTGAACAGCTGGTTGTCCGTCAGCTGCGGCACACCATGGTCCTTCTGCAGGGCGAAGAGGCAGAGAGAGACAACACGAAGCAAGGCACGGGGTGGGCTGCATCAGCCTCCAAGCATCTCCAGAGTTCACCCATACTTTCTTCTTCCATCCCAGGGCCCCCCAGCTTTGCCCCGTCAGCCTTCGCCACCCACCGGCCAAAGCCTGCAGGCCACACGACCGGCCCTGCCAAGCACCCAGCCACCCCTCCATGTCCAGGAGGAACGACAGCTCTCCCTGGAGCCTGCATCCAGAGTGCGACCAGCGCCACCGGACCCCAGGGAGACGCATCCCCTGGTCACAGCGACGTCCGCCTTCCCCAGCGCGGCTGCCGAGACACGACCGCCCGGGTCTCGGGCCTCTCCTCAGCACGTGACAGCCCACCCTACTGCATACCACGTAGGAGGAGACGTCAATGCTGTCCACATACTGGTTGATCCTGCCCAGCCTCCTGTTCCCCTTTGCAATGTAATCGTACATGAAGCGGACCAGATCTTCGTCGCACTCGAAACTCCACGTTGGGGGAACAAACCTGCTGGCACACTCGGGGTTAATGGGGCAGCTCGACTGCGGGGGGGGGAGCAGGTTGTGCTCTACTTCTGCCCCTTCACAGGAGGCAAATGGCTCGTGGTGCCAGCAACCGGGTGACTACGCCCTCCGTGGCTGGCCACCGTCCCCAAGGCTGTACATCGAGCCCCGGTGACTTGGATGGCAGCTGAGCAAGGGGCGCATCAGCTCCCCTCGGAGCGCTCTGCCCCGGGACGTGAGCCGGCACCTCAACAACGGCCGTGAGACGCGGGGCCGCTGAGCCAGGACGTATCCTTGAGAACAACAGCCTGCTGCCCTCAGGCTGACACCCACGTTCACAAACACGCCGCGAGGAGTGGCCTGGGCTGATTGCAGCCGGCCGTGCCCAGCAGAAATCGCCTGGCGCCACTGATGCGACAACCTCGGGTGCAAAGGCCGCTGGTGCTGAGCAAACACCCTCAAGCAGCGAGACTCTGCCCTGCTCCACCCCAGCCTGCTCCGACCTGCGGGAGGTTTCCGGAGGCCACGGCGAGGCCCGGGCTCGCTCCCAGGGAACAGGAGAGAGCGCGCGCGCGACGGGCCAAGCTGTTACCGAAACTTCTGCACTGCATCCTCGTCCGGCTCCAGCTGTCTGGGCTTCGCTGCGAAGGGCAGGGAGGTCAAGTCCACCGCTTGCTCCCAGCTGAAACGGCCAAGGGAGGGAGGGGTTAAGGGACCTGCGCTTCTCCCATTGTCCAGCCAGGACGGCCAGTGACACGAGACTCGGGCCTTGGCTCGTCCAGCTCGTTACAGGACAGGCAGAATGAGCCTCAGCTCAAGGGCCGTCCACAGCACCGGCTCCCACCAACGCAGGAGACGGCGCGCGCCCGAGCGAGCTCTTTAGAAATGGCCGGCCCAGGGGGATTGCTGGTTCAGGGGGAGACACCCCTATCGGCTGCGCACACCCTGGGAGCGGAGCCTGGCAGGGGACAGCCCTTCCCTCTCCCCCTCGAAGGACTCGGTGGAGTTCGAGGGTGGAGACCTGTCCCTTGCACGGTGGTCAGGCCGCCCCCGCAGAGTCTGCAATTGCCTCCCAATGCCAGGATCCCGGCTATCACCATAAACTGCATGGGGGGGTCGTGCTCAGGGTCTCCCTCTAGCTTGCTCCTTTAGCCGTTTAGCTCAGGGCAAGCAAGCCCGGGGGCATCCGAACTCCAAGACCTCCAGGCTTGGGGCTTGCACCTAGGATGCTGCCGTGGATGTGGGAGCACCCGAGCCCCAGGCTGAAGAGTCTGGGCGTTAGGAGGCTTGTTGGGGGTAGTGCCACGCCAACGTCAGCCACCGAGGTCCGCTCCGGCAATACAATTTGGAACCGATTTGGCCCCAGATGCAAAATTGCAAAAGGAAAACCCGCACTGGCAGCACCAATACCCCTGGTTTTGCTCGACCTGGGTGCTGAGGGCGGCATTACGTGCTGGCTCCCACCCAAGCACAGCCCAGGGGCCGCACAGGCCCCGAGGCCCAACACATGCTACGTGGTGCTAACGTGGGTGGGGAGACGCTGGGGCACAGAGCAGCAGCCGGGCCGCCCCGCGCTTCCCTACCTCGTTGCAGGATTATAATCCACTCCAAAGAGCTGCTGCCTCCTCTCCATTTCATCCGTGGCCTCCACGAGGATGAGCCTGCCCCAGTCCTCTCCATGCTTGCGCACCAGGACCCAGCCTTCTTCCAGCTCACAGCCGCCCTTGCAGGCCGCCAGCTGCTCCTGCAGAAGGAAGCGCAGCCGGGCGCAGGCTGGAAACAGAGGGGCCTGGTTCTGCCTTTGCCCATTATACCCCCTCGCTACCGGAAGCCTCCCCGCAAAGGGGCACAAAAAGCATCGCAAGGGAGCTCCGATTTCAGCCAGGTCATTTTCCCCCTCCCAGGCGCAGGGCTCTGCAGGTAGCAAGCGGGAGGTTTAGCGCGGGCTGGCGAAACGAAGAACGGATGCGCCGCGGAGCCCGTGGTCTGCCAGGGCCTTTCTGAGCTAAGCAGAGGGATAGGTGCCAGCAGTGGGATCCCTCTCTAGATCTGAAGCTGCAGCCAGCTTAGGTAGAGGCACAGCTCTCCCGGGGAGGGTGGGGAAGCGCTGGAGCTGGCTCCCCAGAGAGGTGAGGGGGCCTCCATCCTCGAAGGACAACGGGGAGCCCCCGGCCCGGCCCGGGGGCCCGCACCTTGCTGAGCTTGGCCCAGAGCCCCGCGCCGTTGCAGT